CAGGAATGCGTTTTGCTTTAATATAGAAAGCAATTTAGATAGACGGTCGAGCGGCCGACGCCGGTTAATAGCGGCGATAACACGCCCGCGATTCGCAATGCCCAGCGCGAGACTCCGCTGTAACTCTTACGACTTCAGGCTCCGCACCATGCATGTAATTCTCTATTCCGGCGAAAGTTCTCCATGTACACGGCGCCTGAGAAAAGATCCTTCGATACTTTACTAGCGCATATTAATCCGTGATTTACAAGTGTGACAAATATTGTCTCGAATTTAAAAATAACGATCATAAATATTTACACTAAAAATAAAATTCTTTTTGATCAAATAAATACATTTTGCCAATTTTGATTTTTTTTTTACTTAAATAAATATATACCCTGTTTCCAAAAATGTTTTGTTATATTAAAAAAATTATTATTTTCATGTAATATAAAATATAAATTTTTAAAATCAATTATTTAAAATTTTAATACAAAAGAATATTTTTTTGAAGATAAGAAAATTATTTATTAAAATTAAGAAAACCTGTGTTTTTGAAACAAGTTGCCAAAAATTAAAATATGTGTTTTTAAACATAGTATTTTAGTATAATAAGAACAAAAAAACAAATTTTTTTTTTTCATTTGCAAATAAAAGCATATCTTGCTTTTATTTTATATTTTACTAATTCAAATATATATTTTCTGCTTGATTGAAATAACTAATTCCTTTGGGAGTATTTAAATAAATAATTTTTTTTTAAATAAAGAAAAAATTTTTGTATTTATTCTAGTACATTTTTACATTTTTCTAACTAAATAGGCGTCTGTACATTTGAAAAACTCGAAAAGATGATTAAAATTTAAATATTATTGCAACTCTATACGTTTTGAACGAGATCGCGACCGCAAATATTTACACAAATTGAAGATAAAAATATAATTTACACATAAATACACAAATTATCAAATTTCGTAAAAATTAATTTCGGAAGAAGACAAAAGTGGATCCTTTTTATATATTTTGTTAATATTGATTTTCTTTACTTAAATAAATATATACTTTGTTTCCAAGAATGTTTTGTTATATCTAATAAATTATTATTTGCATGTAATAAAAATTATAATTTTTATTCTCGACGAGCATATTTTGTAACGTGACAGAATTTGCGTTGTTACCAAAGCATTTTTTATTACAATGCGAAGGTGCGTCAGGCAATTTTCTCAGCCGTATTCCTCGTATTCAAGTTCGATCCCTGATTCGCCGCTGTACGCTCTCGACCGGGAGCATAAACGCGCGTAAACCCCGCAATACGCGTCTCGAATTGATTGATCCCCGGTGTGCGTGCGTGCGTGGGCGCGTATTCCCTCCTCCCGACTCGCTTAAATCATTTTCTTCGATTACTCCTTGACTTCCCATGAGACGCGGCCGTTGCCGGCTGTTTGCTTCTCTTAACGATCGTGCTTATTTATCCCGGCGCTTTTCTCGTCCGCGTGAGCGTTTCTCGAAACGTAACGTACATCGAGTCGCTAATCTTACTCTCCACGCTTGCCTCAAATATTACTATTTCAGAATCTTAAGAAAGAAATTAAGAAAACATATACTGAAAAAAAATATACTAAATCCAAACAAAATTTTTTAGATAAAAAATAATTATTTATTTAAATACTTGCAAAGGAATTAGTTATTTCAATCAGCAAATATATTTGAATTGGTAAAATATAAAATAAAAGTAAAATGTGCTTTTACTTGCAAATAAAAAAAGAATTAATTTTTTTATCCTTATTATACTAAAATACTACCTTTAAAAAAACATTTTTTAGTTTTTGGCTTGTTTCAAAAACACAGGTTTTCTTTATTTTAATAAATAATTGTTTATCTTCAAATAAATATTTTTTATATTAAAATTTTAAATAATTGATTGTAAAAATTATAATTTTTATTACAAATAATAATTTATTTAATATAACAAAACATTCTTGGAAATAAAGTATATATTTATTTAAGTAAAAAAATCAATATTAACAGAATGTATTTATTTGATTAAAGAAAATTTTATTTGTATTCGATATATCATTCTCGTTAACTTAAATCAATTTCAGAGAATCGAATTTTCCTATTACAAAAAAAAAAAAAAGTGTATTCCTTTACTGGCGGCATATCTTATATACATATATAAATATTTTAAAGTTTTAGAGGAAACAACATTTTTTTATCACTCGGTTTATCGAAAACTTTGCGCTTTTGACAGAACAAGAAAATGGTTAATTTGTCGGTATAAATGCGATCGAAAATCTCCCGATATTTCGACGGAACGAATCGATATACAATTAATTGAACCTGTGCCTTTTGAGAGTGCGAGATTGCCTAAGTGCGCGATTGTCCGCTTAACGCGATAATTTGTCAATCCGGGAGAAAATGCTCCGCACGAGTTGCACGTGCACGCGCGACAAAACGCCATTGTATGATAATATTATTCGAGTCGAGCGATTATTCCAGTCCGGATTTAGCTATGACACCATTACACGCGATACATATAGCGTCTTTTTTTTCTTTCTTTTTTTTTTTTTTTAAAATGTAAATTTTTTTATTAACGAGAAAGAGAGAGAGAGAGAGGAACGTACGAATTCTCGACGGGACGCAAGAAACAGCGGCGGCAATCTCACGTAGATCTGCAGATGATCTACGTGACTCGAGCGTTGCAAGACGAAGGCTTCAAACACATTCGCCCGAATGCCGTCTCTTCCCGCAAGCGAATCAAATTTATCGGAAAGCAAACGACGCGCGACGACGAGTGTTAGTAAGATTTATCGAAGAATAAAGCGCGTCCATATTAATACATGGTTGCAGGAAGTTTTTTTAAAGGAAAAAAATTCTGCAAAACAAGAGCAAATACAAATTCTCGTAAAAACCTGAAAATAGAAAATAGCTTTTGAAGAGATTTCATTCTTGAATCGCGACTTTTTGAT